CCCCGTCATGTGTACAAACGGCCTGTAATAATACTATTGATCTTATCTTACTTGCAGCTTATTAACAAACAGGTTCTTCTTCAGTGTGGGCTGATGCTCTCACTGTTCTCCGCCACCTAAAGGGAAAATTACATAAGAATCCTCCGCTCAATTGTCAGCTCCATCCCCCGTCCACATACAACAAACACACACACACACATACACACAATACACACACAGTACTGTAGCTGATAACCCACCAAGCCTCTTTCTATCTCTATAACAACTGACCTCCCTGCTTTGGTTGCCGTGGTGAGATGATTGAGGAGGTTTCACTGCATGAAGAACGTGAGCTGCTATGGTTTCCTACCAGAAGCTGTGAATGTTGTTTGGGCAGCGAGGGAATAATCATCCATAAATTATAGTTTTCACATGTTGCTTGAAAGTTCCTTTCTAGGAAAATCTAATTCCTATTGATTTCACAACAGGAATTTAATCTCGATGAGGAAGAAATTCGTATTATATTTCTTACACGTTTATTCAAGAAGGTGGGCCTGCTGTGTGTCAGTGTGCTACATTAATTCCCATCCTGCACACTGTCTTGGATATATCACGATTACTCTCCAAGAAAACAAGGACAACCTGGAAAGCCCTTTTTGATCCAGTCTGTCACACTATAGCCTAGTAGGAAAAAAAAGAACAGATTGGACCTTCTCCATGCAAATGCAGTTTAAAAACCAGTAGCTCTGCACACATAAAGGCGCTTCTTTTAATATGTGCCCCCTTTCTTCACACCCACGACCATTGTGTATAAAATCCTGTTTTTCCTGAAAAGATTTCTAGTCGCAGCCGCAGACAATGTTCCCCCACACAAGCTGTCGTCTTTGTCATACCCCCCCTCCCCTCCACTTCAGTCAGTAAAGCAGGATCGCTGGCAGTCGGCCCCGCGCACAAATGTGTGTGTTTCAGGGTACAGGTGGGGGGGCTTGCCGGAGTCTGCCTACCTGTTCCCCTGTAAACTGGTCAATTTTGACAGACATGGCGGGTCGGGAGGGGGGGTTGCGGGCATAAAAACCATAAGGGGGGAGAGAGGGGCGGGTAAATGAACAAATGTCAGGGTTAGTGGGGGGTTGCTGGGGCCACGGCTGTGGAAAATGCTTCCTCTCAGGGGTGTCTCCTGATAGGGCACGGTGAAGGGGAGTGAGGCATGCTGATAAAAACAACTCACTAACAATTATGCACACCTAAAATAGCCCTTACTTAAGTATATAGCATGCTTGCCAGTTAATTGTACACAAAAACAAAGACTTCACAAAAGACCTCCTGTAGCCAATGTATTTTCTTGTATTTTGGCATGATAATTAAGTGTGACAGCTATGAATGCAAAGTTGGCAGATATTATAGTGGCCTGTCTAACTCTACGTAATGATTATGATTGTTTGTATTCCAAAAGTTATACTAAACTATAAAATTAGAAAACTGCAGTATAGTGCAAATGACTATATTGTATAATAATCAAACAATTAAAACTGGTATGAGTGCTCAGATTGAATGCATAAAATTAAGTGCACTGATATGAAGCAAAAATATACTGAAATTAAGTGCACTCATATAAAGGATAAATATACTGAAAGGCCTGTCCGTCATTGTTACCAAAGCTTAGTGATGGAGGTTTGACAGTTATCTGTAGATGATTGTAAATAGAAATTGTAGACGTTGTGCTCTGCTTTATGAATTGTTCCTATTTTTGTGAGTATTTTTGAGTACTCCACAATTACAAAAAAAATGTCCATTCTCTGCAGATTACAGCCTGTTCCTAACCAAGCAGCTGACTGCAAGGGATTTAATGACAGCATTACTAATATTCTCAAAAGATAATGCTTTTAATAATGCCAAGCGAAAAGCTACCATCAATACAATGCGTTCAGTAGAAGCCAATATTTTGTTACACTTGAATAATTTGTGTACGATTGCTGCATTTCCTCTGAATTGTTCTCTGGATTTGTTCAACTTGTTCTTATTGAAATGCTGTAGGACTAACAACCATGAAATCTACTAAGACCTCTGATCTGTACTATTGACCATTATCATAGCCAAGAGGTTTGTTACAATGTGGTATTTTTATGCTACAGTTGGTGAGAAACCTGTTTACATTCCAGGGTGCTGTATAGTTCACTTCTCTCCGCAGCTCAGTCGGATTCCAAAGCACTGTATAGATTTCTTTCAGCTGATGAAATTAAAAAGACAGCAGTGTGTGTGTGGTGTGCCTTCCAGCAACGCGATTTGCCTGTGAGTTCACGATACGGGTTGAGAGGGGAGTTCCTTTGGGGGGGATTAAATAGCTCCCTCTCTTCCTTCCCTCCTCCCCTGCCCTCCATACTTGCAGAACACAAACAGCTTGCAGGGCTGTACAGTACTTGTACAACATGTTTGCCACAGTGCTGCTCACAGGTAACAATAAGCCAAGGTCAAAGGTTAAGAGGGATTGTGGAGCTCGGATTCTAGTGTGTTCCTCTGGCAAATATTGTGTAAACAGGCACAGGAAACAGTACCCATAGTATCGCTGCGAGAAAGAAAGAGTGAGAGACAGAGAGATGGCTCGGAAGAGAGGGGGTATCAAAATGAACAAGACCTAGGCCGGTTTCACAAAGATATGTTGGATTGGTCTATAGGCTTAGGACAGTCTTGTCTCTAGTTTTGCTCCTAGACTACCAGTTAGACAGCTGCACAAAACTAAAGACTGATATTAAGCTTTAAAAGAGCTGTCTTGCGTTGTGTAATTGCACCTACTGAGAACCGGTGACTGTCCTCTCCTAATCTGCTCAAAGGAGGGCAAAAAGTAACAGTATGGAAAGTGTCAGTGTGGGTCTCTTTTAGCCACGAAAGCAATGTTTCCCTAACCTGAACTTAACTGAACTTTTCTGATCTGCTAGTAAGAGTTACCTAAAATCAGGGGTGAAAGAAGTATTCAGATCTTAAAAGTAGTAAAATACAAATACAACAAACTCTATTATAAGCCCTGCTTTCAAAATATTACTTATATATGATATTACTAATAGTATTGCAGTGTAATTAGCTAAAGGTACTTAAAGTATCAAAAGTAAAAGTTCTTATTGTGCAGCAGGATGCTGCCTTTTCAGTGTAACATTATTATCTATTAAAGGGATATTACTACAGGTGTATGCACATTGATCATATGTTTTATTTAAAAAATCTGAAATGAACTGGTAACAATAGCTGAAAAATACAAATGTAGTGGAGTAGAAGTATGGAGTAGAAGTATAAAGTAGCAGAACATTAAAAGATTGAAGTAAGGTAGGATGAGAAATTATATTGTAAGTATATTATATTATTATAAGTACAGTACTTGACTAAATGTGCTTAGTAACATTCCAACACTACCTCTTAACCGTTGGGGGAGTAGACCAGAAAACGGATTTATTACAATTACAATTTTTTATGAAGATTTTGGGATCAAGCAACCATCAATGTCAGCTGCTGACAAAAATAAAGAAAAAGAGCTGTTGGCGACACTTGTAAATAAATTAAACTAAGTACTTTTGTAAAACGGCCTTTAAATTGTAAATTGATTTTTTTGGTTTTTTAATTGAAAAGACCCATATACAGAATGTTTGTACCGTAGATCATCCAAAACTGCACAGTTTTGGGCAAACGATGAACTTGGATGTCTCTCTGAACTTTGACTGTTGCTTAGATTTAAGCCATAGTGAAAGTCTATCTTTGTGA